TACACATCCTCTTCACTGCTGATGTCACAACCAGGGTGACAGCTCATCATATCCCTACAGTACACATCCTCTTCACTGCTGATGTCACAACCAGGGTGACAGCTCATCATATCCCTACAGTACACATCCTCTTCACTGCTGATGTCTCAACCAGGGTGATAGATTAATACATCCCTATTCTCTTTAGTGCTGTGAATGACCTCATCATGCTGCCAAGTGGCCAAATCAGCTACTTTTGGAAATGATTTTTTTAATGGAAATGCTACCCTACATGCTGAAAAATTCTAAACCAATTCTAGAATGCAAAAATCACTTTGGTAGCAAGCAATGCATTATCTAATTGTTAATTTTCAATTTACGGTTTTAAAGTCTGATTGGTGTCTCACATTTCATTAAAATACATCTGAAAGGAACTCTTTCAACAAAACAAATGGTTTTGTGGACCACTCTTAAGTATAATAGCAAAGGCTATTCCAAAAGTTCTCCATGGGTGTTTGTGCCCCACAGCTTTGAACACTCATTCACTCTGAGATCCAGGATCAGGCTGGACTGTTTCTTTAACTGCTGGCCTCCACAGTTATATAAAATAATATAATTAGTGGAGTAAAATAAAGCATTTAAACAATATGGGCAAAGTATCCTTATAGCATTTATAAATATTCAGAAAACAAAAAAAAGGAAACAAAAATTCGAGATCTTTTAATCCACAGATCATCTTGAATTTCTTGCAGTACTCTCTCAATCTTATTGCCACAGAGTGCTTTAGAGAGGAACCGAGCACTTTACACTAATTAAGTGAAGGCTGGATTGCACAGATGGTTAAGAAAAAAGGGTTCTTTATGGTAATGTTTAATGAGGCGGGATCTTTGAAACACTAGCGAAACAGGCATCTATTCTTCTGAGTTGCTCAAAACATGAACACTGGGCAAGGCAGCGACAAAAGATACAGCATGAGACAAAATTACGTATCGTGAGAGAAGTGAGCACTGGGCATCAAATTAAGAGCTTATATACCCTGGTTATAGTATCATTAGAGAATGTTGCTAGTTCAAGCCCTGACTGTTACTCCTGGGCTGGCCTCCCTACCACCGCTTCCAGCAGAAAACTAACACGTACTTGTGAAAATACAATAAGATAGGCCCCAGTTTCATGGAGATAGTCAAAGGCAAATGGGTGCATTATCCTCCCCAGTTTATAATTAAAAGCTTTTTGGTAATGGATAATTCATGACCGACACTGGTACACTTGACTATGGCTGTTGCACAAGCAATAAACCATCTAGTCAGTGAGCGAGACGACTGGGCACAGGTGAGTGTGTTGCTTAAAACTGCTGAATGTGAAGCCTTGGAAATAACAAGCAAGAAAAAACATAGAAAAGGAACCAATATCAATACAATGCGTAGTTCAGCTGTGAGGCAACAGGGATCTCAACATTTTGTGTCAAACCCTCTTTAGTGACAACTCCAGGTTTCGTGTGGACCACAGTAACGGGTGTAAACAAGTATGGCGCGCGTGGGCAGAACGATATGCTAATTGTTGTGGTCGATAAACCAGTTGATGAGGGGGTCCAAGTGTGATGGTCTTGACAAGAGTGACTAATAATGACAGTCTGACTGGAGGAAGCTATACTGATCAAGTCCTGAGACCTTATGCTCTGCCTTTCCTGTGGGCTCATCCCATCATGACAAACTTCCCACAAGACAACACACCTCCTCCTGCAGCTCAGGTAAACAAGACCATCTTACCGATTTCTGACTGCAACAGCTGTCATACGGCATCACCTTCGATAGTGCCCGATTTCCAAGGGGAGCTCAATTTGAGATAAGAGGTGTGAATTTCAAATAGGGAAATGTACA